GCGCAAGACCTGGAGTGGGCGGCGAGTGCCGGGAAGCGGGACGCGGGCGCCGGCGCGGAAGTAGGTGCGGGACTCCGCGCTCAACAAAGAGCCGGGCCGCCCCCCTCGGGTACCGAGCCGGCCCCAGGCCCCCGGCGGCCCGGGAGACCGGCCGGGCTGTTCGCGGGCGGTCAGGAGGGGGAAGGGCCGCGCCCGGGACGGGACTGCGGGGCGCCGTGGACCCTCCCAGGCCCGCCTGTCCGCGGCCCCCGGCGGGGCGGAAGGGAAGGGGCTGGGCCGCTCCGGGTTGTAGCCTTTGCTCGTCCCTCGTGCAGGCGGAGCTGCGGGCAGAGGCTCCATGTTAGGAAGCGGCGCCGCTCGTCCTCGTTAGCGGGAATCGGGGCGCCGCGGGCAGAGCCAGCGGGGGCCGGGCCCTGAGCGAAGATGGAGGCCCCGCTGCGGCCTGCCGCGGACATCCTGAGGCGGAACCCGCAGCAGGACTACGAGCTCGTCCAGAGGGTCGGCAGCGGCACCTACGGGGACGTCTATAAGGTGAGGCAGGCCGGGCCCGGCCCCGAGCTGGGCTGCTTTCCTGCGGTCGGCTGGCTCCCGGGAATAGGGCCACTTTCTGGCCAAGTATGAGACGTGGGGAGGATGCCTTTATTGTTGCATCTTGGGGATGAAGCGGACGGGTTCTTTTTTTACTCAGCTCAGAGCACCCTGTCTGTATTCATTGCTTGCTCTGATCGCCACCAACACGTAAAACTAACCACACCGTTGCAAATCACTGTTGTACTTTTTTTGTGTGGCATAAAGGCTTTTTACGTTTATTTGTGGTATCCAGGGGATTTCGAATCCCCTAGCACATGAGGATGTACTAGGCTTAGCGTGGAAAAATGCTTCATGAAAGACGGTAGATGAGAAAGAATATTGACGTTAGGCATTTGCATTTAGAGAAAAAAATTAAGTGGTTGAGCTTGATTTAAAAAGTCATATGAAACCAGGTCTGTCAATTTTAACTGTAATCAGTGTAATACTAATCAAAATGATGTGTGCACAAACATCCTATGTAGAATTCTGCTTTTCCTGGCAGATGTTTCATCATTTGTACTTGGTTGATTTTTTTTTTTCCCCTACTTTAGCAGTTCCTCTCTCAGGGATTTAGAACATTCCATGACCAAGAGGGGATAAGAGCTGTTGTGTTTTTAATTGTGTTCTTTCGCATTATTTGAGACAAACGGGAGGGTAAGGTACTGTTAATTTGGGATTAAAGAAGAGTTATAGAGAAGCAAACTGAATTCCCTAAATCCATTGAGTTCTTGAAGGATTAAAAGGAAAGAGATTGTTTCAGATTGCTTTATGCTTTTTGTTTTCTATTTCAAAAGGAGCGTTAATGCAATTCATATGGCTATATTAAGGGAAATTTCCTTTGATTTTTGCAACAGCTTTGTTTACTGGATTTAATCATGATATATATCCCATTATTCCAAACGTCCTGTATATAGCTGAAATGGTCTTCTGTCATATGGGTAATTTACTGTCGACTCCTCTGGGGTATGTCGTTGTATTGCACAGATGGCAAAATGGAAAGAAAACATCCCTTTTTTCTCTTTTTCTGCTTTTATTATTCCATTAATAATAATGATTCAAGGTGGTATATGACAACTCTAGCACTGTGTCATTTGACTGAAATGGACTGTGATGGGTAGGCTTTTTATTCATTAAAAGGGCATTTGAATCTTCTTTGTAGGCACTGTTCTAGGTATGGGATGTTGAACTAGGAGGAAGGTCCCAGTTCTTGCCCTGTGAATACCTTTGAATTCAAAGTGGATAATAAAAACAGAATCCTCTTTATGTAGAATTAGAGGTAATTAACTCTTCATTGTTTAGCCATGAATTAGCCATTTTGTGGAAGGCGCTTTAAAAAGTTGAAATTCCTATTTTGCCTTCTCAGTCCTACTTTTTAGTCATTTTCATCTTATGATTCACTATGTATTAGATCAGTTCAATTCAGTTCATGTTAACAAAATAGTCTAAATTCCAGTTCTTGTATATTTTCTCTTCTCCCTACTACAAGAAAATTTAAAGTGTTTTCCCCACAAAAATCTCAAAATAATCCACCTTTTTTTTTTTTTTAAATAAATATAATAACTAAAGCAACTCTCTGGAGTAGGATTTTATTCTTGCCAGGAAAAGCAAAGGGTTGTGTTAAAGGGAAGGCTAATGTTTGTCTTTGACCCTGGTGCCTCCCTGCCCTGTGTCTCTCTTCCACAGCTCCTAAACAGAGGGTCAATGACTGAATATTTATCATACATCATCTACCCCCTCCACCCTGCCCCATCTCCTTCCTCACCACATTCATGTTCTCTCACATTCACATGTATACTCATTCCATTCTTGGTCAGCCTCTGATTCCTAAACATCCTCAAAATCCTGGTTCTTGTTTTCCTTTGTTCTAATTACCTGGAATCACCTTCCACCCCCCCCTTTTCAAATGTTGCTGTCTTACTTATCCATGAAAACCTTCCTCATAGGCTCCTCCAGGAAGCCCTAGCTGTTTTACCTCTCCCCCCTCATCTATTACTTTCCCCTCTTCATTCTGTTCTAGCCACACTGACCTGTTTGCTCTTCCTTAAATATAATAAGCATCTTCCTACCTTTGGGTCTTTGTTCTTGCTATTTCCTCTGCTCAGAATGTTTTTCCTCTGACAGCCATGACTTCTCCCCTCTCTCCTTGCTAAACCCTCCATCTTTTTTTCCTGATTTATTTTTTTTTCTTTGCACGTAATCACCATGTAACATAATCTTTCCTTTTTTCTTGTTTATTATCTTTTTCAATCCACTAACATACTCCATGAGGGCAGGAGTTTTATCTGTTTTCATTTCTCTATCACTAACAGTACCTGGAATTATGCCTGGTGCAGAGTAAGTGCTAAAAATTTGATGAATGAATGAATGAATAATTCTCAGTAATTCTATCGCCTAGTTGTCTGGACATATTCTTTTGACATCACAACATTAAGTTAGCACTTAATACTCTGTGTTAATATGTAATGCCTATTATATCCTATGTATTTTTTGTACAAATTTTAATTGAGTTCTCGAGGAAAATTGTTTCTGGAAAACTATTTCATAGCATACCCATTTTCAGCTGTCTAAATCCTACAGAATTGTGTCAGCTTGTATTTACTTTTATAAATCTAAAAACATGTAACATTCAGAATGTAGTGCTGAAGTTTTGAAGCTCAGAGCAGTTAGAGTAATTTTGCTGTTTATCACTGTGTTTCTGATGAGCTGAAAATCCTTGGAAGCTTTAGAAGTATTTTCAGTTGGTGATATAAACTAGTAAAATAATAACAGTGAAGAATAATGAAGGTAAGTTAGTTGCTCTTCTAGTCGGGTATTATCTACTTTTTTAAATAAATATTACAACTATAGCAACTGTCTGGAGCAGGATTTTATTCTTACCAGGAAAAGCAAGTATCTTATGAAGCAGGAGCTTTAAAAGGACTACAGCTTTGAGACTCTTTGTGAATTATATATATGCTCTTCAAAAACACAGATCCCCTCTGAAGCTCCTGTCTTCGCTGAGAATCTCTAGTAGGGGAGAGTTCAATCTTGAACTGGCTATTCCCTGGTTGAAAAGATAAGAATTCTTTTAGATAAATAGAGCAAGAGCAGGAAATGGTAGAGGGGAAAGAAACAAAAAAAGAAATGAGGTGGAAGATGGGTGAAGGATTAAATTTCAGCTGAGTAAATTTTATTTGTAATTAATGTTAATATTTAAATCTGCCAACAGGAAGAGGAAGTCTGGAGATTTAGTGTTTTCACTACCTTCTGTCCACAGAAGAACTAGACATGTCAAATGATCTAGACAATTATAGTATCATGATACAGTTTATAATTAACAATACAAGCCATTGAGGTGGTCTTTATCAAAATATTTGAATCAAAATTGTTCCCAACCTCTATTCCAGAGAAGGTCTAAGAATCTTTTTTTTTTTTTTTTTTTACTTTTGTGGGCTATAAATTCAGAGTGGGCAAACCCATGTATTTTTTTTCTAACCTGCATGCTTTTTCTGATTGATTATACAAGTATGACATGTCTAGCTACAGGAGGGAAGGAATAGATGTCTCTGGTTCATCACTGTGTGAGAGATAGATACTCAATAAGTATTTGTTGAATGATATTAGTTATAGAAAATTGCCCAGAGATAACACAGTTAATAATTCAATATAGTTTATTTCAGGCTCTTTTCCTGTTTTTAAACCAATATGTTTCTAAAAATGGCTTTTATAAAACAAGGATCACAATGTATATCTTTTTTTTCTACTTGAATAGGAATGGCTAGCATTTTCCCTGGTCATTAAATATTCTTCAAAAATACCATTTTTAAATGATCTATTGAACAAACACTCATTTGGTGACTCATTCTAAGGTTCATATTTGTTTTCAGTTAGAAAAATTTTTTTGCAATTATAAATAATGTATAATTTATATGGAAATCTTTGTCATGTAGTTTTAAAACTTTCATGGGTTCTTCTGGGTGCTGGATGAACTGGGTCCACTGGGACAAATCCCTCTTTTATATATATCCTCCTTTTCTCTCCCTTAAGCCAGAAGTCACAATTCTGGAATGACTTGAGGCATTTTGACGCATATTTCAGGATCCCATTGTATAGATTCATTTCTTCTTCTTTTTTTTTTTTATTAAGATTTTATTTATTTATTTGACAGAGAGAGACACAGCAAGAGAAGGAACACAAGCAGGGGGAGTGGGAGA